AATAAATGTTAATATATGGCCATCCACACAATTTACAAATCATGCAATTTAGCAATGTCAATGCATGGTGGCAGCACTAGATTTTAGGCCAGGTGTAGCGGTAAACCGCGAGTGACCATGAACAATAAGGACAAATCTTGTTATTGGAAAGTCACCATGGCCACATCAAAGAAACGGAAAGTAGATCAGGAGGGACGTCGCATTAATGAGCATTGGAAATCTGATTTATTTATTTTTTATTGCATTTGCAATGAAACCGTCTCCATTTTGAAATAATAAAATGTGGAGAGGCATTATAGGACAAAGTATGCAACTCCTATCAGAGCTTCTCAGACAGAGAATGAGAGGATACAGTTAAACAACCAGAGCCTCCCTAGTTTCCCAGCAGCAATTCCTCATCAGGGCAAAAGAGTACACTGAAAACATTCCCAAAGCAAGCTATGAGATGGCAATCCTTATCCCTAAACAAGAAAACCCTTTCTCTGAGGGCGGGTTTACTCTAGAATGAGTAATGAAGATTGCAGAAAACATCTGCCCAGATATTGCTCGCAACACTGCTGCACTGAGAACATAAGAAATATATATCGATATCAAAGGACAAGCGACTGGTCGAAGCCGTAATTTTTAAAAACTTTCTTTGGCCTGTTACAAAAGTGCCAATATTTTAGACACTGCCCAGCTGCTCATTTATTTGAGAGGAAGTGATGAGGACATGAACATCACCAAAGAACTGCTGGACCTCAAAAGTCTCAAGGACTGGCTTGGGATCAATTACGTGGAAACGCTACCGGTGTGGTGCCCGCAATGGGGAAAGTGGATTAGCATCATTGATACACAACAAAGTCAGCAAGCATCCCCTTAAACTATTGCTTAATTCACCAACATGGCTTTGTGCCAAATGTCTGCAATTTGATCAATTTGTGTGTCCTCTAGTGAGCCACGTCTGGGAGTAAGCTAGTGTTTTTCGTTGATGCCTCGCCACAGCCAATCATTCTGCATGCTTATTGGCTCACTGACGATGACGAGATTAACCCCTAAGGTATCGAAATTTAGTACCGAACGACAAGACATTTTTTGATACTCTATGGTATCAAGGCAACTCCCTTCAATTGATTGAACAAAAGGAAAAGCAATTGTGCTTTACTATTGGTGAACTGGTACCTTGAACAAAGTTTTGGTCCTACACAGTTTGGATTACAATGAGAAGTATCTGGCCCCCATGTGCGTCCACAGCATTGAATAAGGCCCTTTTTATAAATAAAAAAAAAGCTTGAAAATCCCTTCAGTGCCCCAAACTACTGGTGGAGGATGATCACAGATCCTGCAGGTACACACCTGCCCCGAGCACCAGCAGAGACAGAAGAGGGACTACTCAGAGCAGCGTCTCAGAAGAGGAACCGTCTCTCCGGCCAGAAAGAGGAGTAACTTTCGTTCAAGATAAACCTGCCATCTTTAGTTAAATAGAAAGCAGTTCATTTTGCTATGTGTGTAGCAATTACATTAAAGGGTTAGTTCGCCCATTTAAGACATGAAGTTGTATGCAATCCTTACCAGCACTACAGTGCATACACACTGACCCACTCTGTTGTCACCTCCCTGGTCAGAGTTCTGGCCGCTGGAAGTTTTTCAATAAAGTACTCCCGGTTATTTTCCGGTGCCACAAAACTGTGCGTTTTTACGTGAAAAAATTATTTGCGTTTCAAAGCTTGATTAATTTACCACACAAAAAACACGCCGGTCAAAATTTATACCTCAGTTTTAATCGGCACTATTTTCTATCCATTTCTATCAATCCGCGCTGCTCAACGTCAACAGTGCGCACGTTCCGATCAGCTGTTCCATATTTCAAGCTTTATTTGTCATTGCATAAATACAGTGTATTAACACAACGAAATTCCAAGTGCTACTCCAGATCAGTGCTTTAGACAAAATACACACTAATAGATAAATATAACAGACAAACAAACACCCCCCATCCCTTTCTCCCCTCCCTCCCCGACAACACACACCCTCCCACCCACATATGTGTACAATAGCAGCGGTTTCGACATAGCAGCAGGATTCGGCATACAAGAACGAGAAAGCTCAAAGCCGCTGCACTTGCGCGCGCCGCCATTTTGTTTTTAGCGTTGCCATAGTGTTTACACAATCGATTGACAACGACGTAAAAAGTATTAAATTAACAATGGTGCGAACTTGTAAATTCCCAGGCTGTGACCACAAGGATGTGCCGGGATCAAAGTTCAGATTCCATCGTTTTCCTGTTTCGAATATAATTATGAGACAGCTTACCGAGCATAATCTCCATCTGCTGTTAGTCGACCTCACCAGCAGGGGGTGCAAGCGCGTGTTGTTGATTTGGCTGGTTGCCATCGGCTACTCTGCGGGAGCTAAAATATCCAAAATAAAGGATTTTCGTGTGTGTAGTGCTCACTTCAGCGAAGACGATTACATCCCCAACCAAGGAGGAAAAGGAAAATTAAAGAGTTTTGCTGTACCAGTACCACGGGTAAGCTCTATTTACTAACTTTATGATCCCATGTCTAAACTGTACGGTAAACAAGCTGATGTTTAGACTCCATTATAAAACACGTGAAAAGATGTCTAATATAAAAACAGCTATAGGGATATTGGTACAATTTGCTGAGACAACTATTTGATTGAACACACACACAATTGAGGTTTTGTGTTGCAATCAATAACATTGTCGTTGTGCTAAAATTACTTTCATCATCTGATCCGTCTGACATTGTGCTAAAATTGGTTTCATCATCAGAAGTTTCGCAGTCAGACATGTTTTCAGCGAGTCACGCTATCAACAGCTGATCTGAACGTGCGCACTGTTGACGTTGACAGCAGCGCGGATTGATAGAAATGGATAGAAAATAGTGCCGATTAAAACTGAGGTATGAATTTTGACCGGCGTGTTTTTTGTGTGGTAAATTAATCAAGCTTTGAAACGCAAATAATTTTTTCACGTAAAAACGCACAGTTTTGTGGCACCGGAAAATGACCGGGAGTACTTTATTGAAAAACTTCCAGCGGCCAGAACTCTGACCAGGGAGGTGACAACAGAGTGGGTCAGTGTGTATGCACTATAGTGCTGGTAAGGATTGCATACAACTTCATGTCTTAAATGGGCGAACTAACCCTTTAATGTGTTGCCCTGCAAAACTTTGTTCTTGACTTGAGGCTGGTTTCACTTTCATTACTGCTTTTTTCCACTGTTGTTTTGCATAATAATGATAATTAAAGTAACAAGTTGGTACATTATCCCTTACATCGTAGGACCTTTTTTTTTTTACAAACAAAACGCATAATAGAAAGATCATATATTTTGTCTATATAATACAACTAGAATAAAAACAGTATTTGAGTATTATAAATTTTTTTTGTAAGGCATGAAAATGACTCAAGACTCGACTCAGACTTGACAAAAGACTCCAGACTTGACTCGGACTCCAGTGGTAAAGACTCCAGACTTGACTCGGACTCCAGTGGTAAAGACTCCAGACTTGACTCGGACTCCAGTGGTAAAGACTCCAGACTTGACTCGGACTCCAGTGGTAAAGACTCCAGACTTGACTCGGACTCCAGTGGTAAAGACTCCAGACTTGACTCGGACTCCAGTGGTAAAGACTCCAGACTTGACTCGGACTCCAGTGGTAAAGACTCCAGACTTGACTCGGACTCCAGTGGTAAAGACTCCAGACTTGACTCGGACTCCAGTGGTAAAGACTCCAGACTTGACTCGGACTCCAGTGGTAAAGACTCCAGACTTGACTCGGACTCCAGTGGTAAAGACTCCAGACTTGACTCGGACTCCAGTGGTAAAGACTCCAGACTTGACTCGGACTCCAGTGGTAAAGACTCCAGACTTGACTCGGACTCCAGTGGTAAAGACTCCAGACTTGACTCGGACTCCAGTGGTAAAGACTCCAGACTTGATCCGAGTGAGACTCGGACTTGACCTTAAGAGAGCGGTGCGTAAACAGATGTCCGCAAACCTCAATGAACTGAAGCTACGTTATAAAGAAGAGCGGGCCAAAATTCCTCCAAAACGATGCGAGAGACTGATACTGTCATACACCCATTATTAACTTTTTTGGTTTCAGTTTTCAGACAAGTGCATCCTGTATTTTTGGTTTCGGCCCAGAATTTTAATTTCAGTGCATAACTACTTACTAAAATATTTTACATTATTCAATGATTAACTATTAACACAGGGGCTTGTTAGATGCTTTGCTTGCTCCTAAAGTCCTCATTTTGCATAGCTGGCTACAAAACAAAAAAGGTGTGCTGCAAACTGCTCATTCATGTTTCCGTCTCCCTGTGCTTCACACTCCTGCCCAGTGTGGACGAGATCGTCAACCCAATTAACACTTTCTCCAGGCACTCGAAGAAACTGCCTCCGGATAACCAACCACAGAGAGGTTTATGACGTCGGCTTAAAGCCTCCTGCTTCCTGCTAACTGACAGCTTCCTCTGTCAACTTCTCAGGCGGATAGAAGACTTTCAGCTGATATGGTTTTGGGTACCAGAACAAATACGGGTTTATTAACTGATTTTGGGTATCAGACAATACTCTGCTGACAGTTTTGGATATCAGACAAAACAGAGACTGGATCCATCATTACTGGTGTGGAAATTCATTTTAACATTTTTGGTCAGCAGGATATTGGCACAATCAATCAGAACTTTTTACAAAATTACTTTTTTGTCTTATTCAGAAGAATGTCAAATGCATGAGAGCGAGTAAATGATTTCCCTTCACAGAAACTCCTGAAGACTCTGCATCAGGTATATTACAGTGAAAGGGCTGTGCAATACATTGATACAGAAAGCCAAATGAATACATAATGAATACAGAAATTCTGAGCTGTCATCAAAGTTTAGAGTTACGGACATTTGAGAAACACACATTCCCTCTGTAAAACTGGCATTATGATTTGCACCACAGACCAGAGAGACGTCTCTGTTACGGAGGAAATAATAATTACCTTGATAGCCGGTTCAGCTGGTGGAGCAGCGGGTTTGGTCTCAGTTTTGGGTTCAGAGAGAGACTTCATGGCCACCGCTGCATGCCGTACAATACACTGATGACCGCAGTACACCGACCCCGGCAGAGCGTCGTTACTGCAGCCTGGGCCCATGCATTTAGGAGAAGCAGACTCCTCCTCCACCTTCACCTCCTGCTCCATCACCTCCTCCTTCTCCTCCTGATCCATCACCTCCTCCAGCGGCTGCTCGACCCCCACCTGAGACACAACACACCGATTAGATAAAGTCCTTTCACGGGATCCGGGGGACTTTTGACAGCTACAGGGCTTTTGTTAAAACTACAGGAAGAGCTTTCACATGTTTGCATTCCCAGTCGGATCAACAGAGGGGTGGGGAAGGGCTGTTGAAATATTTTACATTTGTTGTTACATTACAGCTGCCAAGAAACAAATCATTGATGATCCATTTGTCCACTACTGGCTAAACAGCAGCTCTGCTGGACAGACTCCTCCTCCTCCATAGGCCAGAGTGATGAAGCAGGAGGAGCTGGATTATTTACTCTGAGTGATATCAATCCACAATCTGACCTGTAATGCTGCCTAGGGATGGGAATCGAAAACCGGTTCCACTCGAGAACCGGTTCTAAAATTTACGATCCATCGATATTGTATGCCCTCGACGTTAACGAGTCCTCTTATCGATGCTCCTGCTCTGTCCCTTTTGTCCTTTATCAAGCACCATAGCACCGCGTCCAAAGCTAATCTTTGTCCTGCAAAGTCTTATTTGATCAGTGAGTAAAATTGTCTCTCTCTGGTAATGTAGATGAACCGCTGCGCTTGTGACAGGGCGCATGTTAAACTGATCGAGCAGAGAGAGAGAGAGAGAGAGAGAGAGAGAGAGAGCGAGAGAGCCCCGGTCGCGCGCACGCACTCTCTCTCTTCGGAGCAAGGCGAAAGTAGGCTTCACCGTCTCAAAACTAAGCGCTGTCTTCCTCTCTCCCTCGCACATATTAATCAAAATAAACGACACGATGGTAAGGTAGGGAGACTAAAGTTTTTTGTGGAGCATTCGGAGATTTGTTTTTCCTGAATTGCCGCTGGGTGTGAATTGTGCCAAAATACGTTGCCTTATCTTCTCTGAAAAGTGTTCCGCACATTCAGCTGACATAATCACACTTCAAATAAACGAAAAAAACGATCCAGTGATGAAATGTTTTCTGTGATGACACACATCTTGTGGGATGTCCCAACTGCCGGGATAATCACACAACGAGCACACGTCCGATAATGACACGTCCAATTCGCGAACTAATTACTCATTTGAACCGATTCGTTTTAATGAATGGTTAAAACAAATGATCTTTCCAACACTGAACTCACGGGGCGTTTAATCGGTGTATAACTAATCGGTAACACTTTACAATAAGGTTCCATTTATTACATAAAAAGTACAGTTTGCTTAGTCAAGTGTAAGCTTTAAAACAAATAAAACAACTTGTTTTTTCCCCCGAAAAAGACTACTTTTTCCCTCACAGTGCTATCAGGAATCGATAAGAGAATCGTTAAAGAATTGGATCGATAAGCAGAATCGTTAGTGGCATTGATATTGATAAAATCTTATCAATTCCCATCCCTAATGCTGCCTGAATCATAATCATACACTGTTAGACGTACACACACACACACACAGGAGAGATTACCGGCTGTTGTTGTGAGCAGGAGGCACAGGTGAACTCTTCTCTGTTGCCCTGCAGGAGACGAGCCTCTGCGCTGCTCACACACTCCACGTGACGCCACTCTCGGCACGAGCCACAGCGGAGCATCACCCTGACACACACACGTTAGTTCGGCACGGCAGTATCAATGTGCATCACAGTTTCAACATGCATAAAGCAGCTGTATGAATGAAGCTAACGCATCAAATATTCAACACAACAGGTACAAATACAATAAAAGCTGTTTGAGGAAAAGAACAAAAACTGAAATTGAACTCAGGGTCGGGATCTAATATTTCCATCAGTGTTGGACATGATCGCCTGCACATGAACCAGTCACTGCATCAGCACGGCTGTGTTCAGACTGCAGGTTAAAGTGGCCCAAATGAGATTTAGTTTTTACATAGATCCGTTTCTCTCATGATAGTGTGAATGGCACAAACCACATGGAGTCTGATCTTTTCAATACTGATTTGTGTCAGTTTCATACGAGATCCTGACACTAAAACGCTTTTTCTCACACAGTAATTTTTATTTTGGGTGAACTATTCACAATACCAGATAGTCACCCTCCACGATACATATTGATGCATTTTTTTATTGTGATACATTTATGGCGCTTTTCCACTGCTGGTACGGCTCGGCTCGGTACGGCTCGGTACGGTTCGGCTCGCTTCTCTTTTCCACTGCTGGTACGGCTCGGCTCGGTACGGCTCGGTACGGTTCGGCTCGCTTCTCTTTTCCACTGCTGGTACGGCTCGGTACGGCTCGGTACGGTTCGGCTCGCTTCTCTTTTCCACTGCTGGTACGGCTCGGCGCGGCTCGGTACGGTTCGGCTCGCTTCGCTTTTCCACTGCTGGTACGGCTCAGCACGGCTCAGTACGGTTCGGCTTGCTTCGCTTTTCCACTGCTGGTACGCTCGGCACGGCTCAGTACGGTTCGGCTCGCTTCGCTTTTCCACTGCTGGTACGGCTCGGTACGGCTCAGTACGGTTCGGCTCGCTTCGCTTTTCCACTGCTGGTACGGCTCGGCGCGGCTCGGTACGGTTCGGCTCGCTTCGCTTTTCCACTGCTGGTACGGCTCGGCACGGCTCAGTACGGTTCGGCTCGCTTCGCTTTTCCACTGCTGGTACGGCTCAGCACGGCTCGGTACGGCTCAGTACGGTTCGGCTCGCTTCGCTTTCCACTGCTGGTACGGCTCGGTACGGTTCGGCTCGCTTCTCTTTTCCACTGCTGGTACGGCTCAGCACGGCTCAGTACGGTTCGGCTCGCTTCTCTTTTCCACTGCTGGTACGGCTCAGCACGGCTCAGTACGGTTCGGCTCGCTTCGCTTTTCCACTGCTGGTACGGCTCGGCACGGCTCAGTACGGTTCGGCTCGCTTCGCTTTTCCACTGCTGGTACGGCTCGGTACGGCTCAGTGCGGTTCGGCTCGCTTCGCTTTTCCACTGCTGGTACGGCTCGGTACGGTTCGGCTCGCTTCTCTTTTCCACTGCTGGTACGGCTCGGCGCGGCTCGGTACGGCTCGGTACGGTTCGGCTCGCTTCTCTTTTCCACTGCTGGTACGGCTCGGCGCGGCTCGGTACGGCTCGGTACGGTTCGGCTCGCTTCTCTTTTCCACTGCTGGTACGGCTCGGCGCGGCTCGGTACGGTTCGGCTCGCTTCTCTTTTCCACTGCTGGTACGGCTCGGTACGGCTCGGTACGGTTCGGCTCGCTTCTCTTTTCCACTGCTGGTACGGCTCGGCACGGCTCAGTACGGTTCGGCTCGCTTCTCTTTTCCACTGCTGGTACGGCTCGGCACGGCTCAGTACGGTTCGGCTCGCTTCGCTTTTCCACTGCTGGTACGCTCGGTACGGCTCGGTACGGTTCGGCTCGCTTCTCTTTTCCACTGCTGGTACGGCTCGGCACGGCTCAGTACGGTTCGGCTCGCTTCGCTTTTCCACTGCTGGTACGGCTCGGCACGGCTCAGTACGGTTCGGCTCGCTTCGCTTTTCCACTGCTGGTACGGCTCGGTACGGCTCAGTACGGTTCGGCTCGCTTCGCTTTTCCACTGCTGGTACGCTCGGTTCGCTTTAGCTCAGTTTGCTTTTCCACTGCAGTTCCGCTTTAAAGTGGGTGGGATTATATTATATACCGTTATAGTTTATCCGCTCCTCGGCAACCAACGAGAGGAACGTCTGCACTTCGTCCACTGACCACGATTCAGCCATTTCTTTTTTGGAAGTTTTCCTTTTTTCTTCAAGCAAATCAAGCAAGTAGTTTTAAAACAGGTGCTACAGCGGTGGCTGTTACTGGCTATTTAAATCTAGCGGGTTTGATGTCTCGCAAATACAACGACGCTGGCAGTGACGATTCTGTCTGACCAATCAGTGATCTGCAGTGTGTTCACGTCACATTTTAGTATCTGTACGGTACGCTTGGAACCTCAACAGAGGTGGTACCATTTAAAGCGAGCCGTACCATACCGTACCATGCAGTGCAAAAGCACCAAAGCGTGCCGTACCATGCAGTGGAAAAGCGCCAATACACGATATATTGTTACACCCCTATGAATTATGAATTTTTATTAGCTAATACTGCATCCACTTCTCAAGTTAACATGTTTTGCGGGAAAAAAGTTTCATTTCCCACAAGCTTCCAGGAATAATGCAGCGTTTGCTTGAATACTGGCGGAGGAACATGGATTTGGTATTTAGATGAAGCTGCTAAACTCATCTGAACTCTTACTCAAGCCTCTGCTCTCCACTGAACCTGCCACTGTACACTATAGACCATGCCGACTCTGAGTGACGTGGCTCATGTGTTGCTTTGCACCTTTACTGTTACAGTCAGTGTTATTACACATCTTAAAAATAAAATATTAAATCTGGAAAAGAGCAGTGAACATCTGACCTAACATCTTGTTGACATTGCTATGAAAGACGTTGGGGTTGAGTTTTTTAAATCTAACAATGTATTACACAGCTCTCTGGAATACTGGATTCTGATTGGTCAGTGCCGGCATCCGGGTAACTGAAACCGCTGCTACGTAAAGCTGTTTCTCACACCACTCACTTGCCGTCTAGAGTCACTGTCGTGTTGCAGAATGAAATGAAAGTACAGAGTCAGAGCTTACCTGTCACTGAGTCTCTGCTGACACACAGCGTCCTGACCCGTGCTCTCGCTGCGGGATTCAGGGATCTGGTCCTCTCCTCCAGCCTGTTCCTCAGAGTCCGCCTCCGCTCTCTCAGCAGGGACTGGAGAACACACCTGTCCTGCCCCTGAATCGCACACCTGTCCCGCTCCTGAATCCCCATCTGAAGAACACACCTGTCCTGCCCCTGAATCGCACACCTGTCCCGCTCCTGAATCCCCATCTGAAGAGCACACCTGCCCCCCTCCTGAATCCCCATCTGAAGAACACACCTGTCCCGCTCCTGAATCCCCATCTGAAGAGCACACATGCCCCCCTCCTGAAGAACACACCTGTCCTGCTCCTGAATTGCACACCTGTCCTGCTCCTGAATCCTCATCTGAAGAACACACCTGTCCTGCTCCTGAAGAGCACACCTGTCCTGCTCCTGAATCCCCATCTGAAGAGCACACCTGTCCTGCTCCTGAATCCCCATCTGAAGAGCACACATGTCCTGCTCCTGAATCCCCATCTGAAGAACACACCTGTCCTGCTCCTGAATCCCCATCTGAAGAACACACCTGTCCTGCTCCTGAAGAGCACACCTGTCCTGCTCCTGAATCCCCATCTGAAGAGCACACCTGTCCTGCTCCTGAATCCCCATCTGAAGAGCACACCTGTCCTGCTCCTGAATCCCCATCTGAAGAGCACACCTGTCCTGCTCCTGAAGAGCACACCTGTCCTGCTCCTGAATCCCCATCTGAAGAGCACACCAGTCCTGCTCCTGATGTGAGGACACCTGTGACATCTGTCCCGCTCCCATCCTCCTGTCCCATCAGGATTGGCGTCCCTACACCCACATCTCCCTCGTCTCCCTGCTCCTGCATCCGCCGGGCCACGACCCGCTTGCGGATCTCCTGCAGATTGAGATCATCGCTGTCTTCGGCTCGATCCGACGAGACTCCTGCACTGACGCGCTCCTCGTCCGGCTTCAGCTCCGCAAGGACACCCCTCAGCCCTTGCTCATCCTCCTCTTCATCACCTGTGTGTGTGAGCGCTCGTCCTCGCCCCCCGCGGCCCCGTTTGCAGGCTATAGCGCTCCCGCCAGCCTCGGCTGCACGTTTGCCCCGGCCGCGCCCCCTGACCCGCCCCCGACCCCTGGCTCGACCCCGGGCCCGTGGGGCGGGGGGGCTGTTGTCCGACGAGCCCACGGCCTCCAGGAACTCGCGGCGGGCGATGGTGCTCCGCCGGAAACCCCAGGTCTTGGCCTCAGCGCTGGAGCCGTCCTCCATCTGACACACAGCAGAAAACACACATCAGGATCCACTTCAACTACTGCTACACTAGAGCACACACTGCATCATCTGGGCGGCACACGGCATTACTGCTTACTTATTGTAGTTCAGCAACACCAAAGTTGCTGCTTTGCTCTAAAACAGGGACTGGTTACAAGAGACTTACAATGCTTTTCTGTTTGGTATGGTTCACTTTCACATGGCAACATTTCAAAGTGTGTTCAAAACAATGTGTTTATTCAAGTCACATGGCGGTAAAACTGATCTCTCATTGGTCACTTCAACTGTTTACGTTCCTCCTAGCATCGCATGTCCGTCGTTAGTACACTTCAGTTACACGAATGTTTATAAGCCTTCATGCCCGAGAGAGAGAGAGAGAGAGAGAGAGAGAGAGAGAGAGAGAGAGAGAGAGAGAGAGAGAGAGAGAGAGAGAGAGAGAGAGAGAGAGAGGTTCATCACGACAGCATGTTTAATGCACCTGTTAGTGAGATGAGGAGGCTCTAGTGACTGCTGAGGTCAAAGACACCTCGTTCAGGACCCAGTGTTCCGGTGTGGATCATATAAGCCTAAACGAACCGAGTCCGGTTCAGACACATGCACAGCCAGTGTCTCATGCTGAAACATTAGCACTGGGTCTCAGTCACAAGCCACTGATAGACGCATTTCACATTAATCTAATAAAAAATGCAGTCAAACTCACTTTCATTTGTTAGACAATTAAAACCCATCATTAAACTTCCGAATGATGTGACCAGGAGTCAGCCAGCACACAGCAGAGAGAGAGCAACTGAACTGAAGTCTATCGCTTACTAAAGCTTCATCTCTCCGGCGCGAGCGAGCGTTGATCTGTGAACACAATGAAATATGATAAACTCACGCTTCACCGCAGGCTCACTCCACACTGTCCGCGTTTACATGCACACTTCGGTTTGAACTAAACTTATGAATGATTAGTAATGTAAACTGCACTCAAACAAATAAACACGCAGTGTTCTTCCATTTTGTCCGTGAGAGGGGCGTGACGCACTGCATGACGAGGAGAGACGCCACGCGACGCGACGCCGGAAACCAACAGCGACGCTGGCGGACCGGAGGAAGAACAGCAGGCGCGATCGCGTCTCAAATGATGAAGCAAACGCGATTGGAAAAGCAACGCAAATTTACAATTTACATTTATTCTTTTTTAGCATTTTGTCATTATTTGTAATAAACCCTTTCAGTAGGCTATTAAAAAGTGTTCTTTGTTGAATTATGTTTTTTTTTTTTTTTTAAACATACACGCTGTAGTTTGTCTCTTAACCAAGCTCTGCATAAAACACTGCAATTTTTAATAAAATAGCACATATTATAAAGACTTATCATAATGGTTATGGCTGATTTGTTAAATGCATTTAATACATCACACTTTCAATAAAACATTTGCAATTGGTTCGTAAAAGGTGTGTTATTTGGGGTGAGTTTCCGTTGCATTGACCAGCGCTTCGACACTGTGAATCATTTTGTGAAGCAATTTCTTTCTTCAGTTGATTGAAAGTGTAGCAAATTAGCTAAAAAAATATATTAATAATTAATCATAACTTGTTATAATTAATAATAAATATTTAGAACAGTTAATAGAATTAACTTAATGTAGTAAAATTTATATTACAATCCAAACCTGTTTGTCCCGTGAACACTTGTTTATTAATTCTAAGAAATGTTCATTTCCGAGCTATGGGAAATGTCTTTCTTACTGTACAGTAGGCTAATACTCAGAGCATGTAGACAAAATCTGATATCGTAAAAACGGACTTTGTTGCAAGCAGAGAATCAGAATCAAATACATATTGTACACAAGTTTTAATAACTAAATCACAAACACAACTAATCTAAACACACATAGGCCTACACACAATCACACATACAGCTTTCCTGCAGCTCAAACAGTAGATCGTTGGCGCTTGCAACGCCAAGTTCATAGGTTCGATTCCCAGGGAAAGCAAGAACTGATAAGAATGTAAAATGTGTACCCTGAAATGCAATGTGATTTCCTTTGGATAAAGCATCTGCCAAATGCTTAATGTAAAATGGTTAGTGACAGTGTGGCGAGCAGGTCGAGGGCCGTGCGTGAGCCCGGTGGCGTGATTGATAACGAGCGACACCTGCGCAACGCACCAGTCTCGTATTATGCGGAAGCATAAAGGAGGAGCGACGACAGTGAAGATCGAGAGTGGAACAGGACTTTATTTATTTATTAAAATCGTTGAACGTTCGCCAGGTCCCGCCTCCTTCTTCCCATAACATTTGAACCTTGTTACACTGGTGCCGAAACCCGGGAAGAAGGAGGGACACGCTGTCAGAGAGCCCTCGCTGCTGTGCGGGAGTGATGGCCGCCGATTGTTGCCCGAGGCGATGGTGCTGGAGCGATGTAACAGCAGGCGGGACGGAGACCTCGCTGCCGTGCTCCTGGGTCAAGGAGGGGTGCCTGCCGTCCGAGAGGGAGCGGAGGAGTCGCTTCCGTTCGCCGTGGGCCGGAGCCTGTTGCCGTCGGCCATGATGGGGGCGGAGCAGAGAACGGAGGACTCACTGCCGGCTGCCCTCGACCGGAGGAGCCATCGCCGCCCACCAGGAGGTGGAGAAGCGCCGAGCCGTCCCCCAACGGATGTCCAGTACCATCGCATGGCACCGCGAGTGAGTCTGAGGACCGAGCGGCAGTGTGTCCGGGAACCGGACCAAGATTTTTTTTTCTCTCTCCCCTCTCTCGTATCTGTCGCTCCTCATGCTTCCGTCTCCTTTTCTCTCGCCTCGTCTATCCATACCCTCAGATGCCATGGCCACCGTGACCAGTCCCCCGGCGATGGGGGTATGTGGTGAGCAAGACGAGGTTGAGGGTCGTGGGAGAACGGCGCGAGGCCGGTGGCGTGATTGATAATGAGCGACACCTGCAACGCACCGGTCTCGTATCTCTCACGGACGAGCGGAAGCATAAAGGAGGTGCGACGACAGTGAAGATCGAGAGAGGAACAGGCCTGAGTTTATGTTGTGTTCTGTTTCTGTTGTGTGTGGCCAGCAGTCGTCCGTGAGGGGCTGCTGGCTTATACTTTCATTTTTGTATTTGTTTATTTATTTATTACAATCTTTAAAACCTACGATCGGTCAATGAGCGACGGCTCGTGGTACCATCACAGCGGGGCACAAAATCACTCTCCAGAACATTCTCATTCACGGTTCCATGCTGGTGGAATGATCTCCCCACCCTCATCCGGAATGCAGAATCCCTGACAGCATTCAAAAGACAACTGAAAACTCATCTCTTCCGGGAGCACTTAACATAAAAAAAAAAAAAAAAAAAAATCCTTTCCTCTAAATCCTCGCTTGCCTGGCTTATGCTACTCCGAGCTATGTCTGAACTTTGTATTTTGAGCACTTCTTGCGTTGCTTTTGCCTCTTCACGATGACTCGCTTGGTTTAGTCCTCAGTTGTAAGTCGCTTTGGATAAAAGCGTCTGCTAAATGACTAAATGTAAATGTAAATCTTTAAATGTTCGCCGGGTCCCGCCTCCTTCTTCCCATAACATTTGAACCTTGTTACAGACAGAATTAAACCGGAACCAGGAAATTAAACTATGGAAAAGATTAATTTAACTATAAAAAGAACCATCAGCTTTATTCTTTCAAAGCACCTCATTAAGAGGTTTCTACCGCTTATTATTAAACCTCTGGTTAAAATTTGTGATAATTGCATCTCCTTTGCAGTGGAAGCAGTGTGTGACGTCTTTGAAGAAGATCTCCTTGGTTCCGTGAGTTGATGGTTGGAGTTGCGATGGACTTCTTCTGCAGTGAGTGAAGAAGTTGTACCAAAGTCCTGATGTTGTCATTGACTCTGTTGTGGTTGAGAGAGAGTCCTCTCTCTCCTGAATGGGCACATGGCTGGTTGTGAGCCTGGTGAGGCTATGCAGGACACCAAACCGAAGGTACCGAGAAGGGCCAAGAGAGGGAAAGGCTTGTGTAGATGCTCTATAAAGCCTGAGAAAGGTCCCACCTCTCAGGGTTGACTTGACCAATAAGGCCCCGATCACACCAAACGCGCTTTTCAGGTTCGAAAACGAGAGGCGCACAGCACTGACCCGATCACACAGAATGAGCAGTGCGCTGCGTTTTTCATGTTGTTAGGCAACAACCGAAACAGCTGTCCTGTCAGTCAAGTAAACATCAAATCAGCCTTAGATTAACTTTATCTACTTTCTGTTAACATTGTGGTAGTTACGGTTCGTGAAGTAATTAAGCTCCTGGTAACCCGCGAGAGCACCACAAGTTTCTCCTCCATCATCGCACTCTCCGGGTGTTCAAAGCAACTGTAGCTTTGATGACGTCGGGCGCTTTTCTGCTCGGAGTTGCTTTTTTTTCAACTGCAAAAACGCGAGGCGCAGCAGGTGGTAAAACGCGAGGCGCCTGGGGCACATAAATAGGTCGCAGAACGCTCACTGCCATAGGAAAACAGTTTAAAAAAGGCGCCTCTCACTGCAAAAAACGCGTTTGGTGTGATCTGGACCTGAGAAAGGTGGAATTTCCAAGCGGGAAAATTCCTCTGTTGGGAGGTTTTATGACTGTCTCAAGTGTGGTTAGACATGGGCCTTGCTGTCTGTGTCCATTTATATAAATATAACAAACACACACTGCATTCTATGAGGAGGTGTTGTACACTAAAGTGTGAGTCGTTAAATGAGTATTAATTAGAATGCACACAAGTTCATGGGGCAGAGGCAGATACATCTTCCAGTGTGGACATACAATATGCAAACCCTCAAGTTCTGCTACGATGGGGAAATTGTTGCTCCACTAGACACTCATCACGTGCCTTTGACTTTCCGGCACAGGGACAAACATGTCGACGCTGTCAAAAGCTGAACCACATTGCAAAATGGTGTCGGTCTGCTCCAGTTCAAGCTCCTACACAAAGAAAACCACGTGCTAAGACTACAAACACTGGTGTAATCCATTCAATCAACACCAATTCAGCATGGTTTTCTACATGCACTGTTAATATAGTGGATTCTTGTATCCACTATTCTCCTCTCTGAATTTGTTTGGATACGGAAGTTCTGCAGTCGACGTTATTGGTCTTATACATGCGCCTGCCCAGTATGGCAATAAGGCTCTGTCCAACTTCCCATTTCACATTACGTCCCATGGCAGCAATATCCTCGGACTGGACCTGTTTATGAGTCCGGACTGTTCTCTGCTGGCTCTGGCTTGTCTTTATGGCCGAAGATTCACCCTTGGAACCGATGACTAACTCCTCACTGCACTTATGCCTCCTTCTGGGTCTGACCACAAACCCCTCCGCATGTACCGCTGGACTGACCGCAGTATGACTTAACCATACAGTACACATCAGGGAGAGATAATGTAGAAGCCGGTTTGCTGCTGCCGTCCCCATTGCCCCCTGTCACATGGTTGAGGAAAAGGATATTACTCAACTGGTGCATGCACCCCTCGTGGCTTTCGTGTCCTTGGGGGCACTCACAGAGGAGTCGGCTGCTGATTTCACCCTCTCCGCTGTCTGCAAGAATCTCCTGAATAGCTGGCCATCTCAAGTCACAACTGATATCTAGCCGGATGCCAGAGTGAAACATGAATGGTCATGTTGGAATGATACATGCTTGGCCCGTGGACACTGTGTCATTATCCCTGCTAAGCTCAGAGGATGGCTGCTGGCCATGGTGCATGAGGGCCATCTGGGCATACTCAAACTGAAGCAGCGTTGTAGGGAGCTGGTATGGTGGCCAGGGTTGGACAAAGACATTGAGCAGCAATTGAGACATTGTTTGGGACTGTACTCCATGTTGTGTAAGCAGGAAAACTGGCCCACACACCCCGCCGCCCCTGGGG